CCTGCTCTGTGCCTGAGGACCACAGCTGACTCTGAGAGTGGAGATCATGGATCCTTAGAAGGTGCTCTTCTCTCTCTGGCTTCTGGCATCCCCTCCTTCCTCTGGCCCTTGCTGGCATAGGGCTGGCAGTGACACCCTATGGGTCTGAATATGGAGTACTGCACTTTCCCTAGGCAGATCTTTATAAATATTCAACTTGACAAACTCTTCTGGAAAGTAGTAAATTGGGTCTATCACTTGTTTCCCATGAGGATTGAGTAATACTAGGTCATTTCTAACACAAGGACAAGACTCCATCTAACAAAGGCCACCCTTTTTAGGGTGACTGGATGAAGAAGCTCTGGAGTATGTTTTGAGTTTTGTGGGTTATACCATGGAAGGGCAATATAGGACCATGTTTTTACACTCAAATTGGTCTCAATGCAAAACTCTTAAAACCTGCATCTGATTCGGGTTACATATAGATTTTATTAATTTTTTATTCTTTTTTCAGTCACCACATATATAGATATATAGATAGATGAATAGAAATATACAAATAGATTGTACACAGTGGTACCTCAGTTCATCAAATGCTTTTGTTTGGAAACAATTTGGTTTGCAAACAGAAGTGTTTGGCAAAATTTTGTTTTTATTTGAGAACTCTGCATCAGGTGACAAACATGATTGCAACCATCTTTTCCACACCAACAATCTTTTCCAAAATCATAGAACAAATTGAGGTACCACTGTATATATATGGATGATAGATTGATCTATGTTAGATACAGAACCTCAGCAAGGTATAGGACCCCCAGAGGTGTGAGGGTATGAATTGAATGCTGGTGTATCAATTAATGTAAGCTAGCCTATGCTGCAACAACAAACAATCCCTGAATCTCATGGGCTTTACATATAAAGGCTTTATATCTTGTCCATACCACACAGTCATTTCTGGTTGTCTGGAAGCTACCATGTCATCCTCAGTCAGGCCGGGCTAATAGAGTAGCATCACCTGAACACGACAAAGGGAAAGGTGGAGACAAATCACACATTGGTTCTTAAGCTTGCTGGAAGTAGTTGGGTGTGATGGTGTACACCTGTAATCCCAGCACTCTGGAAGGCTGAGGCAAGAGCATTGTTTAAGCCCAACCTTGGCAACATAACAACTTAGTGAGACCCTGTCTCAAAAATGGTGTGGCAGGAGTGGGGCTGTGGGGGAAATGTAGCTCAGTGTGAAGTCTCTGAATTCAATCCTCAGTACCAGAGTGGGGGAAAAAAAGACTGCTGGGGGTGACATATTTTTCTAGCCAACACAAGTTACATAGTTGCTGTTCGCTTAATGTAAGAACGAAGTGAAGTAGAAATATTTGGTAGACAGCATTAATGACTCCTCTTGACAATCGTAGGTAGGGAAATGGTCAGGATCCTTCTGTTTATCATTTTACTTTTCAACTACTTTATTTCTGATATTTTATATAAACATTTATAAAAATTAGATAAGGCCACTGCAATAGATAGTTTGTGTCCCCCCATTCATATGCTGAAATTCTAGTTCTTAATGTGATGGTGTTAGGAGGTAGGCCATTGTGTGTGTGTGGGGGTGATTAGGTCATGAGGATTGGTACCCTCAAATAAGAGATTCCAGAGATCTCCTTTGCCCCTTCCACTGTGTGAGGACAATCAAGAAGACTGGGTACCAGGAAGCAGGCCCTAACCAGACATCAAGCCTATCATGATCTCGATCTTGGACACCCAGCCCTCAGAAATGTATTTATAAAGGACTCAGTTATTCACAGGATATCCAGTCTATGGTTATAGCAGCCACATAGACCAAGACAGCCACTTATCATTGAGAATGAACCAGCTTTTTAAACTGACCAAGTTGTTGCCTGGGAAATCTTCAGTGGGCCTGGGCTTATACAAATTTAAATGGTGGCAAGATATAAAAAAAGAATATTGGAGTTTTCCCCAAACTTCTCACCCACTAAGGACCTTCCTTCTACAATTCTAAAAAGATAATACTCAGGCCTAATACAGATGGTTCCTAATTTGTAATGGTTGACCTAATGATTGTTTACAGTGGTACAAAAATGATATACATTCAGTAGAAACTGTATTTTGAATTTTGATTTTTTTTCCCAAGCTAGCTATATGTGATAAGATGGTTTCTCATGATGCTGGGCACCAGCAGCAAGCTGTAGCTCCCAGTCAACCACATGATCACCAGGGGAGACAAGCTGTACTCCATAGGTATTTTGTTTCTTGGCTAGGGTGATTGGGTGTATTCAATTTACAGTATTGTCAATTTACCATGGGTTTAGTGGACATAACTCCCTTGTAAGTTGAGAAGCACTTGCACATCCAGAGTATGGAGTTCACTCACCTTGCCCATTCCTTTTTCTTTGGATAACATCTCCAGGTTTGTTTTGTTTTGTTTTGTTTTGTTTGTAGAATAACCTTTCAGCATTGAAAGGACCTGCACTGAGGGGACCATCAGCCAGGTGACATGTCCTCCATGGCCTCATGATACAAGTCAGGCCAATTAGATCCTCTACACAGAATCTAAGTTTTGACAGGGTGGTGTGTGTGTGGGTGGGGGCACAGATATTTTTGAGCTCTCTTTCCTGGGAAAGGCACTCTGAAAGGACTGTCCAGGAGTCCCTGCTGCTGAAGCCTCAGGAGCTACCTTGCTCTGTTTTCTCTGGAGCTCCATTACACCTAACCAATAAATTCCTCTTTTTCTTAGGTTAATCAGATCTGGTTTTGATGTTTGTGACATGAAGACCATGCCTGATGCAGACACTTAGGCCAGAATACCTGCTTGACTTAAGGTGCTAGTGCATCTTTCAGAAAGATCAAGTGTCCATTGGAGGAAGAATTGGGAATCAGTAGATACATAGAAAGCAGAGCTAAAAAGGATCTCACTGGCCTTGCACATCCACAGCCTAGCCAGAAAGTGCTGGATCATGAACACCAGTTCATTGGTGCATCCTCTTATCTGGAAGTGATTCCAAGTGTGTCAAGCAAAGTTACAAGCATAGTTTGTACCAGCTGTCCTAGTTTAAATAGTTCAGCCATTAAAAACTGTAACATACCCATTTTGTGGATTAAGAGACTAAGGCTAAGACTATGAAGCTGCCAGTAGGCAACTATGGCTTTCAGTACAGGTCTCACTGTGTTATCTGTGACTTCCAGGAACTAGCAGATTCACTTGACAGTCATGATAGTCGTGGGAACTGGAAGCCCCCTGAGGCAGTCAGGGTTAGGAGGCTGCCAGTTCCCAAGTGCCTGACATATTTCAGGTGACTAATTAAGCTTCACTTGGAGATGCCCGTGACCCACTCTGATCCTCTCAGTCAGTCTGGTGGGGAGAAGTCTGGCATCAGTCTTTATAAGCCCCGGTTGATTCAGGTGTGCAGTCAGGATGAAAACCCACCTGATTAGAGGTAATCTGGCCCTCTCTGTGTTATAACTAAACTGTTCTTGTTGGGATCACTAGCAGCCCCCGTCAGATAGTTTTCCTAGTCTACCTAATCCATTTAAATACCCCTTCTGGAAACAGTTCTTTGTGATCCCAAAATTTTCTGATTTTTTTTGTCTCACACAGCCTTCCTTGCTGGCTCTACCTCCTCTGCCAGGCTCTTGATGTCCATGAATCCCTGTTCTCTGTCCTGGCCCTCCGCTCCGCCCACCTGTCCATGGATACTTGTGGCTTAAGCCCATCCTCAGCTCCAGATCGCCTCTATCCAATCACCATTTGGCACATTTACTTGGATAGTTCACAATATATTCAGGTTTAAGGCAGCAAATACAGAGTTCTGGGTCCCTGTTCCCAAATCTGTTTTCCCAATGTCACCTTCCTAAACAAATGTCATCTCCATCCCTGTTGGTCAGGCACTAAGCCCAGGAGCTATCTTTTTTTTGTTTTGTTTTTTTGGGGGGTACCAGGGATCGAACTTGGGTCCTTGCGCTTGCGCAGCAGGCGGCGAAACCACTGTGCTAAATCCACGGCCCTAGGAGCTATCTTTATTTTGTTCTTTTCCTCATCTTCTCTCCCTTCGCCTACCCCATATATTTTTCTATCATCAAGTCTTGCTGCCTTAACTTCCCAAATAGGTCACAACCCCATTCAAATCAGTTTACTGCCTTTGCTTTTGTCCCCTGCAATCCACACTCCACAGAAAAGCCAGGGCACACTTTGGCAACATCAATTAGATTCTTCCCTCCCCTCACTTAAAGCCCTTGGAAAATTTTTCATTGCTTTAAGAGTGAAAAATCTCACTGCGCCCAGCTATGCTCACATCATCAGGCCTCAGATGCTCTGCCCTTAACCTGTCCCAGGGTCCCTCCCTGGGTTTTGTCAGTTGGCCCAGTGGCACCAGCCTCCTTCCCACCAGGTGAGGGAACTTGCAGGGCTTTGCATCCACTGTGCCCTCTTGCCTGGGACCCTCTTCCTTCTATCCTTCACACATCCACTCTCTTTTCACCTTTCATGGGCAGTGTAAATGCCAAAGGAATGACCTCCCTAGTTGCTTCAGTCCATCTCTCCTTATACCCCTGTTTGCTCCTGTAATGGTGGTTTCCATTTAAATGACCAAATTACTGGCTGTAATTCTGTTGTTTTGTTGGCAACTCACTGTCTTAAGGAAACAAACACATGCGGGAATAATAAACTATATATGGTGGCCTATGTTGATAGCTTTCTCAGCTCTGGGAAGCTCTACCTTGAAATGTGAGGACAGAAAGCAGGAAGGCCAAACTTGCCACCAGGCCACTCATGAACTACTGTGTATTGTTCACTGTGGCAGATATAGCCCTACCTCCAACAGGGTGGGCTCCATCATCCATCCTGTGGGCATTCTCTGCACTGATGCTGGTAGTATGCTGACAGCATCATGGCCAGTAATGTGGTTAATGCTGATGCCTGTCAGCTGGGCATGGGGCAGCCAGCCTCAGCCCTTGTGACCTACTGTTTCTAAAGAGCTTTTAGGCACAGCGGCTGCCAAGCTCTTAGGGCAGCTGTGGCTTCTTTGCTGAGATTAAAGAAGCTGCCTACAAAATAAAAAAGGACAAAAAATAAAGGCAAAGAGGATGGAAGACCTGAGCTGTATTCAGTGGCCAAGAGAGAAGCCTATATTTCCCAAGGGATGGGCCGAGGGCTTGACTACTCCCCTGACCATAAATGGCTTTGCTGGGGCTCCCTGGGAACCACCTCTTGCCCTCCCTCTCCAGCTCTCCCAGTTGGATGTTCCTGTGAATGGGAGACACAAGCAAAACACCAGCAAGAAAGGAACTCGAAGAAGGCAGTGACTGGAGAAGGTTCTTGAAAGGCTGGTGGAAATGGTGAGTGAGAGCTAATCTTTTTTTTGTACTAATCTTCCTTTGTCTCTATAAAAACCAATTCCTAAGCCTTTAAATCCCAAGTCTCATAATACTATCAAATAAACTCTACCCCTGTACAATGAAGTGAAGTGGCTTGGGTTTTTTTTTTTTGGTACTGAGGATCAAACTTGGGACCTCACTCTTTCAAGGCAGGCAGCAGAACCACTGAGCTAAATCCCCAGCCTGGCTTGGTTTTTAATTACTTTCCTATGGGAAAAATAGTAATTTTTAAAAATTCCCATTTAATATTTGCTGGTCTCATCTTTTGTTTTGATATAAAGATTTTGTTTTTAACCCTGTCCATACAAAGGTACAGAGTAGATGTTTCAGCTACATTCATTTCCTGGTTGAAGACATGGATCTGATCAATAATTTTATCTTTCCTATTTGGTCAGTCTGCCTTCTGCTATATTATCAGCAACATGGATGTTCACACACTGCATCAGAAACTCCCCACCTTTCTTATTGACTTATGATACATTTTGACTTAATCAAATGATGTTTGCTAAGTTAGGAGGGAAAACAGAAGAGGCTTCTATTGTTGCTTTATTAAAGGAATATGGAAACAGTACAGGTGCTTCTCAGTGGATGAATGGCTACAGAAACTGATATTCCACAGCCTGGATGGACCTGGAGGATATTATTTTCAGGGAAATAAGCCAGATACAAAAAGAAAAATACAGCATGATCTTATATGTGGAATTTAAAAACAAGGGAAGATTATTCAAAGAAGCTGATCAGGCTTTGGAGTTAGGAATGTGATCTAACCTGATCTCTACCATTTACAAGCTGGTGACCTACAGAAACCTATCTTGTTCTACAGCTATGACGTAGGAATAACTTTTCCCTCATAGGGAGGTTATGAGAACAGCATCTGATACCTGCACACCCTCAGTAACAGCAAGTGATTGTCCTGTTTCTCCCTCCTTCTCCTCACAAATAGCAAACTCCTAATAAGAGACACTTAGCCACTATGAATCCCCAGGTGCCTTTAGAATCATTCTGTAGGTATCACATATCCCTCAGACTAACAATAAGCCAAGAGTGTACTGCATCCAATTCTGGAATTTTGAATATTGCTAGTTCATGCTTATAATTCCTTACAACAAAACTTTTCAAGTGGGTTCCCCATCCATGCTCTGTGCTTACCAGCCTCAAAGAACAGGACACCATGTGATCCCTCACATACCACAGTGTTTGACAGGTCTGAAAGCTGCCACAGACTTCATGTCCCTTAGATTTACTGGGTGGAGCAGGCAGGTCAAGTTCATAGTGTCCCATTTTGAGGATGGAAAAACTCAGCCTGGAAGAATAGATTTGCTGTGAAGAAATGGAGACCCAAGAATCCAAGTGATTTATCTCTACTTAGCCCAGATCAGATGGCTCGAGGCCCAGGGTTGCCTTACTCCACCAAGCTACATCTCTAAAGGGCACTGTATCATGTTTTTCTCTCCATGAGAGCACCACACTGTGTTTCTACAAAATAAGAAAGCCTTTCTGAAATTAGCCAAAATCTTCATCATCCAAATATTGATAAACAATTCATGCAATGGCCCACTTGTTGCTGCTTCTCCTCTCTGCTGTCCACCCAAAGAAAGCTTTGTCTTGGGCCTGCTGACATCAGTGCCCAGTACTCACTGATGAGATAAGCTCTGGGCAGCTGCATTCAGTGTCTTAACCACCATGGGTCGTTGTGGCACCTATTGGCTAGATTGGCATCAGCATGAAGGGCAGCAAGAGGACCCTGAACTAAAAGACCCTGGTGTTCCCCTTGCTCCAACATTGTTCTGGAAGAAGAGGTGTACCATGCCTCTAATTCACCTGTAGAAACTGCAGGAGTTGTTTGGAAGCCTTGTGGAGTGATGGAAAGAGGCTGTCATCAGAAGACTTTCAAAGTTCATTTCCATTCTTGAGAGATATTTGCAGAGTGAAAGTGCTTTTTTGCTAACTGACAGAGAAGTGGGCAAAGTTATCATTGAAGTATACAGGCTGGGTAGGGCCATCTTAATTAAAGGACATAATCTTTGGGAGAAGTATACATTGTAAGTACTTAAAACATTCTTGGTTCATAGGAAAATTTTTCATTCATCAACCCAACTGAATTCCAACTCACCAGTGAATTAGCGAAAATAGTTTCATCAGTTTTGCACATATCAGGACTATCTGCTTTATAACATCTTTCAGGTTGGATCTGGGTCACATAAGCCAAGCTCATTTGGCTTATTTCAGAGTGAAGCTCTAACTATTCTCAGTTGTCCCTGAAGTAATTGCTGTTCAGTCCCCGAGTCTCATTTTTTGCCTTCCAAAAGAGGCTTTGAGGTGTAAAATGACTTTCAAGACACATCAGATCTGAAATGTGCTTCTTTAGGTTTCTTTAGTCTTTCACAGTATTCCTATTGGATAACATTCAGTGTTAAAATTTAACAAACCTGAGGGGCTGGGGATTTAGCTCAGTGATGCCACTGCCGGTCTCACAAGGGCAAGGTCCTGAGTTTGATCCCCAATACCTCAAAAAACAAAACAAACAAAAGCTGGGGATTTAGCTCAGTGGTGCTGGCGCCTGCCTTGCAAGCAAGGTCCCAAGTTCAATCCCAGTTATAAAAATTTAGCAAACCTGTAGCTTCAGAAAGACAGAATTTAGCCTTGGAGAAGATTAAGCCATGGAGTATGGTCCAGTCTTGCTGATCAGGCAGGCTGGGGCTGAAGGGGGGCCTGACTAGATGGTCACTAATCCAAGGAGCAGAGTCTAGAAGGTGAAAATAGGATCACTTCAACCCAGGAGAACCAGGACCAGAAAGTGCCACTAGCTGCATCAGAGCCTTGTCTACCCATTGTTCTCATTAGGCACGGAAGGGACTTGGTAAAGAGAAATCTTGGAAAGAAGTACCAATGAGCCCCAAATGGGGCAATAGAATGGGGACAGGGAGCAAAAAAGAGCACTGGTCTGGGCTGGCATGGCCCAGATAAGCAGGTACCTGGGCAGCCCATTTGGTGCCCTGTTGAGTCCACACTTTAAATATTGAGTCCACATGTAGGGGAGAAAGGAGATGGGGTGCTAAGTGAGGGAAGAGTGGAGACTGTTTACTTCTCCCCTGTCATCCTGACCAGTGCAGCTCTGTAGCTTTGGACTGGGGAACAATCAGAAGTCTGGTCTTTTCCAGGTTAACTTTCCTGGGAAGCTATTAAAGTTCAGGTGTTGGACCATGCCTCTTGGGGGGCTTACCTACACCAAGTAAAAAATACTGTATAAATAAATTCACCCAGTGTTTGGCCTGAATGGACCTCAGGGGGAAAAAACTTCCAGTACTTCGCTGAGTTCCTGGTGATGTTTCTCCATTGTCTTTGTGGATTAGGGCCCGTTAGGCCAGAGCCTCACTGTCTGGTTCCCTAATCCAACTCCTACTGGAGACCTGGAGGAGAAGGGGCAACACTGACTTGTTGCTAAGGGAGAAGCTTGAGATGACCTCGGACTTCTTTACTCCCCACTCCTTCTTCTGGGGCCAAGACTGGAAGCAGAGACTGGGGCTGGTACAAACTATCTATGGGATCAATACATTTTTGTGGAATTTTCCAGGGTGATGAGTTTAGGGGAGGGGTTAGGACCTACACCATCCATTCCGAGGAGTTTAAATGCTTTCTTCTCTCTTGCAGAGTTTTTCACTAAACTTCACACTGCCAGCTAATATGGTGAGTATAGCAGAACTTGTTCAGACAGGGCTGAAAAGGTCTGGGCAGGATTTACATGGGAAGTCCCGAACTTTGTCCCATACACCTAATGTACAAGGAGTGATCAAAAACTATGGTGAATGTTTAACTTAAAAAAAACAACTTATTACTGTATCAGCCACATTACCAAGAATTATGGGACAAGTGTGTTTGAAGTGAGGGGGAGTATTTTGAGGGAGAATTAATGGCAATGTGTCTTTACCATAATAACATTTTAAAATGTAAACATTCACTGTATTTTCTGATCACCCATTATACAGTGATGTCTGACAAAAACGATGAATAATTGAGAAGTGCTGAGAATAATTTTTCAGTTATAAAAATTATAAATGCACATTTTGAAAAAAATAGAAGAACACAAAAAGCCCAAAATTCCTACTAGCAGAAAACATTAGTATAACCCCTTCCATCTTATTTGATTTAATGTAATTTTTGACTTTTGTTGTCTTTGTATTGTGTTCTTATTTTACATGTAATTTTATATCTTAAGTATTTTGAATCAGTCTTAATAACCATAACTGAAGACAGTCATATGCTATTCAATTAAATGAATTATTTCTCTAACTGATTAATTGTAATTAGGAATAATTTTGTGATAAACATCATTATAGATAAACCTGGTTTGCATTTAAGATTATTTCCTTAGTATGTATTCTGGCAGGGGGATGATTGGATCAGCACGAATGAACATTTTAAATCTTTTCATTATGATATTTAGTTTAAAATCAAAACAAATTTTTTGTTATTGAGGGCATACAGCTTCAATCCACAGCTGCACTTCCAGCTTTCCATTCTCATGTTGTATAGAGTTAACACTAACATCCAGGGTTGTTTTCTGATCAATAGTATGCCATGACTGAGTGAGGCATTTTCTTGGCCCAGTTTTTAAGTTATATGACCATGCCAAATTTTTCTGATAAGTTATATGGTTATTCAAAGAGGATTTTGAAGCTAGTTCTCATTTTTACTTTACATGGAGCATAGTTCCAGAAAGTGACAGGAAGACCCTTGTAACTTACTGCTGAAATTCTGGTGCCCACCACTGTCTGTCCTGATCATCTGTTTCCAAGCTACCCTCCTGGGGATGGTCCCCTGCCTTCTGCCCCTCCCTTGCCTGATGAACCTCTCCAACTTGCCCTGCCTCTCTGCTTCAGCCTCTCCCTGGTGTCTGCAGACAGATTCCCCATCCCTGTCCTTATTTGCCAAAGTTTTTCCTTTACTTGGTGCTAAACTTACCCCCTGGCTGCTGGAACCCTGTGGATCTATTGAAACGCCGACTTTATCTTATCCTGGATTGGCCTATTACATCAACATAATACAGAGAAGCCATTGTTTGGGATAGCAGGGGTGAGTAGGGTGGGAGGAAGGCTCTTATGATGTCACCTTTTGAAACATCATCTTGGTTAACAGCTCATTTCTCTGAGAAGTGTCCCTTCCCTGTTTTGAACCTATGAAGGACCAGTCACCCTAGTCTGCCTAAGACCATCTACTTTAGTACAGAACATCCTGCATCCTGGGGAGCCTCTCTGGATATCAAAGGCGATCATTCTACCTGGCAGTGCAGTGGAAAAAGACTGAGAAGTGGGAGAGGTGGGAACCTGGAAGTAGAGCCTCTGCAGGGAGTTTGGAACAGGGTGAAGTAGACAAGTCACTCCCTGCTGGACCATACTGAACCCTCAAGTATGAAAAACTGAGTTGGGCTGCTGCCTTTGACCTTAGAGGCAGGCTGGCACAATGGGTAAGAGCATGCATCCTAGAGCAAGACAACTCAAGTCTTCCACTTTAGAGCTGTTTGACCTCACATAAGTTACTTCACTTCTCTGTGCCTCACTCTTCTCATCTGTAAAATGGGAATCAGTCCTACTTCACTGGCTGTTTTTAAAAAAATTTTAAAAATTTTATTAGTATGTATTTGGAGTATATAATGATTACATTCATCATGGGGAGCTGGTACATGTACATAACACATCTTAATTCTTTTAACTTCCTCTTCCTTCACTGGCTGTTGTAAAGAATAAATGAATGGGGCCAGGGATTTAGCTCAGTGGTGCCACCGCCTGCCTTGCAAGTGCAAGGTCCCGAGTTTGATCCCCAGTACCAAAAAAAAAAAAAAAGAATAAATGAATCAATATGGTAAATGTTTGAACGGCCTCAACAGCCTGGTACATATTAGATGCTCCATAAGCATTAGCTGGTATAATTAACAAGTACTCATGAGAGCAGCAAAAGTTATAAAAATATATATAGAGAGAAAGAGTCAACATGCAAGGAAAGGCACAGACTAAAAGCTGTGCTTTTAGGAGAGATGGAGAGAGAGGGGTCGCTTCATCCTGACAAGTTCCTATCCTATCCCATTCCTATCTCTGGTTCTACCTGGAGAACGAGCTTCCCACCTGTTCTTGAGCTCCATAAGGTGCATTTGCATCTTATGAGTTATCCTCCATTCTGTTTAGTTTAGTTTTTGGGTTTTTTTGGCCAAAGCCAGCCCAAGTAAATTTCCACAACCGAAAATAGAATATTTTACCTTAAATGATAGCTGACTCTTTCCACTACCCTTACAAATAAAACATAAAAGATAGATACAGGGTTAAAGCAATATGGGGGTGAATTGAGGAAATTATGTTTAGGTGAAAGGGTAACTATTTAACCATCATGTGTCTGGTTATTAAATCTCTCTTCCTGGTAGAGGGCTGGGCAGAGAATCCAAACACACAAGCTCAGGTTAGATTCATGGTTATATATGGGAACTTGAACAAGTGCCAAACTTCCCTGAGGTCTGTTTTGTTTTGCTATTTCTTTTTTTATTGGTAAAATAATTGTTCAAAAGTCTTGGGACTTGAGATTGCTGAGAGGACTAAATAAATAACAAGCCTGACCGGAGGTTTGTAAAATTTCAAGGGATAACAAAAACCCATATTTCTGGCACCCATTTGACCCTACAACAACCTTAGAGGGTGGTTACTACTGTCCCTATGTAGATGAAGGAATGAGGTGCCTTAGCTTGTGAGTAGAGAAATGGGCACACCATTGAAGCCACTGCAAGCCCAGTATCTGTGCTTTTTTTCTTCCCTAGTGGTACGGATAAAACCCAGGACCATGTACACTGTAGCAAATGCTTTACTACTGAGCTATATTTCCAGTACTTTTAATCCTACATTCCACTACAGAGCATAGTTTACATAGTCAGCTGTCATGTAGAACTCTGTTCCCTTAGAGTTATTGATGAAGGCAAGATTTGCCTTCATATCCCAGAAATGAATGATATCCAGTCCCATTCCTTGAGTGATGTGAACCAGAACAACATAATATATTCATTCAATGTAGTCTTATTCCCAGGAGCATGACGAATTCACAATTGCTGCCATTTGCTTCATTATATATTTGAAAACAAGTAAGGCTTTCTTTAACAGCCTTATTTAACAGCCTTATTTAACAGCTTATTTAACAGCCTTATTCCAATATTTGTATTTGTTTCCATTATAGCCAAGCTATTCTGGTAAGGGGCAGGGAAAAACTTTTTGAGATGTAACATATTCACAAGGTGAATAATAAATATGTCAATAATAAAGACCTGAATTTTAAAATCCTCTTTACTCATAGCCAAATTTCATTTCAATTCTTACCCAGGAAACAACCAGACACATTTCTGTTTGGTAATTGTTAATAGTTGACCCAAGGAGTAAACTTTAGGCGTTATAGCTTAACCTTTGATAGATTGTCTTGTGTAATGTATAATATATATATATGTATATATATATAATGTGTGTGTCTTGTGTAATGTGTAATACATATATATAATGTATGTGTCTGTGTGATATATATATATTATGTGTGTGTCTTGTGTAATGTGTAATACATATATATAATGTATGTGTCTGTGTGATATATATATATTATGTGTGTGTCTCGTGTAGTGTGTAATATATATTATGTGTGTGTCTCATGTAATGTAATATATATATTATGTGTGTGTCTGCTGTAATGTGTAATATATATATATTATGTGTGTCTCGTGTAATAATGTGTAATATATATATTGTGTGTGTCTCGTGTAATGTGTAATATATATATATTATGTGATATATATATCTCCTTTTTTTTCATACAGACTTCCTTTCCAGTTGTTACAGGTGGGAATGAAGCAGTAAGTATCACTTAAAGTACCAACCCTTGACTGCATCATTTATAAAATAGGGAAAACTATCCACCTCATATATTTGTTTTGAGGACTAAAATTTGATATGTGAATCCCAGAACCCAGAACCTGGCTCAACAATTATTCTTATGACCACCTAAGCTCAAAACCAAGGGAGAACATAAAAATCACAGGTAGGTGTCACAAAGGATTGAGTAAAAGAAGCCAGGTACAAAAGAATATAAACCTTATATTTGTATCTGTGATAATGAAAAACAGACAAAGCTTATCTACAGAGTGAGATTTCAAGACAGTCGTCACACAGAGAGATGAAGGGGACTTTGGGGTCCAGGCAGTGTTCTATTTCTTGACCTGAGTGTTGGTTTCATGGATGCATTTATCATGTGAAAAGTCATCCACCTGTATCTATCTGGCTTATAGAGTCTTATTATTTTTCCATAAAATCATATCCTCAAAAAGGGAAAGAGAACCCAGCATTATACAAGTGTTGCACATCTATTAGAGATTCTGTAGATTGTCATCAGTATTTCTAGAAAATCTGGAAATCTAAAAATTTATGTGGCTACAAGCATGACTATTTTTACCCAAATCAAAGCAATGTGGGCACATGAAAATTGGTTAATACATTTAGTGTAAATAACTTAAAAATCATATGAAAATGGTGTGGGATATAATAAAAGCTTTCACGTTTTTCTGGACTGGTAGGTAAACATGGCATCTAATTGTGCTGATTTGTACCTCAGCTTTTCCTGTGTTGAGACATTTGTGTTTCTGTTCCTGGGAATGCTTCTTCAGATCAGTTGTCCATTTTTCTACTAGATTTCACTCTTTCCAATTGATTTAAACAGCTGGGTGTACACCTGTAATCCCTGTACTCTGAAACTGAGGCAGGAAGATTGCAAGTTTGAGCCCAGCCTGGATAACTAAGTATTTTAGCAAGACCCTGGATCTAAATGGCCAGGAATGCAGCTCAGTATGAAGGTCCTAGCTTCATTCTCCAGTACTACAAAGAACAAAAATAAACAAACAAAAAACTACTATGTAAATTAAATCCTAGGACAGCAAGTCATTTGTCATATATGTTAAAAATGTTTTTTTCACAGTATTTCATTTCTTTTGATATGGTATATGACATGTATAGTCTATGCAGATTTTTGTTTTATTTTTAATCTATTGAAATTTTCCTTTAGTATTAAAGAATCTGAGCTTCCCCTGACTCTGTTTTTCTCTCTGTGCCAGGACTGTGGGCCCTCTGTTGGATTAGCAGCAGGCATCCCATCTTTGGTGGCCACAGCCCTCCTGGTAGCCTTACTATTTACTTTTGTTCACCGAAGAAGAAGAAGAAGAAGAAGCAGAAGCAGTGAGTCTGCTGAGGTGAGTACCAGGTCTTTTGGATCTAGATATGTAGTAGGAATCAATATTTCAGTGAATTGGCATTTGAGCTAAAAGTATCAGAATTGAGCATCTGTGTTATTGCCTGAGGACAATGTGGTAGAAGTCCCTGTGCCATATTTCCTTTTCAGATTCAATTCAGTTCTGCTCCAGAAAGAGCTGATGTGCATACAACTCTCAGGTCACGTGAAGACAACCCTGGCAACAAAGATGGCATGTGAGGTGGCAATAGCAGTGGAGAGATGTTTGTTGCCATGGCAAGCATGTCTGTACAGTGAGTGTATTTTCTAAGGTGAGGTGGAGAAAAGAGCACAAGGTTCACAAAGAGCACAGAAATGATGTTAGAAAATATAAGAGACAAAGAAGTATGGGGGCAGGCAGGGATATGTCCAGACCACATCTTTTCCCTAGGTGGTCTGAACATGCAGAATTTACAAGAGAATGTCCATGTATCCCTCATCCTTCAATGTTAGATTCCTCGGGTGACCATACTCAGAATTCAAGGGCAACGCAGACCAATATCGAACAAAGGTCCATGGTTATGACTGAACAGTATTAAGTAGGCTCTGGGTTCTCCTTTCATTTTTGATTTATAAATATTCATGGTTGCTTTCACACTGGTGAGCGTTAATAGAGACAGAAAACCTAGCTTCTAATCCTGGCTCTATCACTTTATGATTTAGATGATTCTGGACATGTAACTTAACATTTTCTATGCTCTTGTCAGATCAATTAAAAAACAGGTATCATCCAGGCATGGTGGCACTTACCTGTAATCCCAGCATGCAGGAGGCTCAGGCAGGAAATCGCTGTGAGTTCAAGGTCATCCTGGGCTACACAGTGTGTTCAAGGCCATCTGACCTACATAGCAAGATCTTGTCTCAAGAAAACAAAAACAAAACAAAGCAAAAGGGCTGGAGATTTAGCTCAGTGGCACTGAGCCTGCCTCGCAAGTGCAAGGTCCCGAGTTCAATCCCCAGTACCAAAACAAACAAGCAACCAAAAACCAGAAAACAAAAAACCTCCAACCCCCCCCAACAGAAAACAACAACAACAAAACAAAAACAGGTATCACAAAAAGCTGTATCTCAGTGGTAGAATGCTTGCAAAACATATACAAGGCCCTTGGTTTGATTACCAGCTCCACTGGGGAGAAAAAAATGTTCTACTTTCCCTATTTAAAGAGGCAGGCAGAATTGTAAGGATGACATGAAATCATGGACAGTAATTGTCTTTGTTACTATCTCATTGCTGGGACAAAATTCCCAACACCCCCAAGTTAAAGGAAATAAGATTTATTTTAGCAATCAGTTTGTGGAGGTTTCAGTCTATAGTTGGCCGGCTCCAAGGCAGGGTGACATGTCAGAGGAGAAAGAGTCCATGGCATGGCAGGCAGGAAGCAGCAAGCAGTGAGCCCCCCTTTCCCTTTTTATTCCATTCAGGCTACAAGCCTATTGGCTGGTGCCACCCATACCCAGGGTGGGCCTTCCCATTATCTACACCCGGAGCTATGCTAAACCATTCAGTGGACTAATCCAGTTATTACACAACCATAATTCAGTATCACACATCCATAATCCAGCAACCTCCCAAAAGCTCCACCTACGAGGCTTTGGGGGCACATCTAGATATAACCTATAACATTCCATCCCTCACTCCCAAGAGACTCAGTTCATCCCTTTATGCAAAATGCATTTAGTTCATTTCTAAGAGTTGCCAAAGTCCTAACAGTTTCAGCATTGCTGGAAAGTGCAAGTCCAAACTTTCCTCTGAGATTTAAGGTAAACTCTTAGCCCTTATAAAAATGTAAAGAAAATTGCATACAATGCCACAAGATAAACATTCCCATTCCAAAAGGCACAAATAGAGGGATAGAGAGGAATGGGACCTAAGCAAGATCAAGATCCAGCAGGGCAAGCATTAAATCCCATGGTTCCATGTTCAGCACCGAGGGCAATCTCTGGTAAAATGTGAACTCTAAAGAGCTTGGGTGGCTTTGCCCCATGGCACTGCTGGTGGTTGTAGCTTTCATGGCTTCTCTCTTGGGCCACTTTGATCATTTCTTGTAACTTTCCTCAGAAGATCTATGTTCCTGGCTTCTCCAACCTTCTGGGGTCTTCACTGCACCTTCAGCTTCACACTTATAGCTTCACACACTGCCATCTCAGGGTCATACTATCTGGCCTCCCAGGCCTTCTTCTGGAATGGATATAAGTCTTCCTAACCCCATGACTCTTTCATCCTGCATATGTCTAAAACCAGCACCATGTGGCTGATGCCAAGGTCTGCTGCCATCTGCAGCAGTAGCCAGACTTCCTTTTCTCTTGGCTATAAAGGCATTTAGTGAGTGCCTGAATGGCTAAGCACTATAAACCCAATCCCAAAGAACAAATTCCCTAGGCTGCTGCCATCTGGAACATGGTCCACTGGGGCTCTCTTCTCAAAATAAAGTCTTACCTTTGCAAGCTTGAGGCTGCAAAGGCTGGTGTCCTGCTGGTTCCTGTGACCCATGTTTTCTATTGTCCAGTTCCAAAGTACAGTACCTGGCTTTCCAATACCAATCATTTCAGCAACTAAGTTTTCCTCTGCTCCATCTTTGCAGTCTGTAACTTTACTGGAGCTTCCTTTCTGGCCAAACTCAAAACTTTTTAAATCATTCTACTGGACTGTTTGCTCTTAATTCTCAAGATAGAGCTGACTAAAAGCCCCCAATAGTAGCTATGCCACCACCTCAACATTAGACTGCCTTGAAATTTTTTATGCCAGTTTAATTAGTCCACTGCCCTTAATCTCAGTCTTGTGCAATGTCTCTGGACATGGGCAAAATTTAGATAGATTTTTGGCCAGAGTATAACAGATGGCCTGGAGTCCAACTGTCCATATAGTTCTTATTCCCAACTGAAACTTCCTGAACCTGGTCTTTACTGCTTGCATTTCTATCCGCATTCTGATTTTCTGAGCTCTGACCAGAATCTCCCATCAAGCTGAGCTTATAGCATTCTAGAGCTGCTTCTCCAGCCAGCATCTCACAACCTCTCCAAACTGTTTCTTCAGATTTCTGAACCACATGGCCAGGTAATGTTACAGCAACAACTCCAATTCTCTAGTACCAAAATCTGTCTTAGTTACTTGTTGCTAGGACAAAGTACCCAACACCCACAAGTTAAAGGACAGATTTATTTTAGCTCAGTTTGTAATGGTTTCAGTCTGTAGCTGGCTGGTTCCAAGGCAGGGCAGAATAGCAGAGGAGCATGCCAGAGAAGAGTCTATGGCATGGCAGGCAGCAAGCAGCAAGCAGTGTCTCCCTTTTTCTTTTAATTCCATTTAGGCTACAAGCCTATTGGTTGGTGCCCCCATACCCAGGGTGAGCCTTCCCATTATCTACAGCGAGAGCTATACTAAACCAATGAGTGGACTAATCCAGTTACCACACACCCACAATCCAGTATCACACATCTACGATCCAGACACCTCCCAAAAGCCCCACCTATGAGCACATGAAGTGGGACATTTGGATATAAGCCATAAGAATGATCTCATATAAAGATGTTTTGGCAACCTGTAAACTTTAAGAACATTAAGAAGTATTGTGGGCTGAAGATTTAGCTCAGTGGTTTCGCCACCTGCCTTGCAAGCACAATGTCCCGAGTTGAGTCCCTGGTACCAAAAAAGACAAAGGACAAAAAAAAACCAAAACAAAAAAACCCAAAAACAAAACCCAAAGAAGTATTGTGGGTAATGGTGCTATGTAAGTAATAGTTTCTCAGTCTTCCTTGTCCTTTTTTTTTTTTTTTGGTACCGCGGATCGAACTCGGGTCCTTGTGCTTGCACAGCAGGCGGTGAAACCACTGAGCTAAATCCCCGGCCCGGTCTTCCTTGTACTTTAAAATCATTTAGGAAGCCATAAAAATACCAATCACCAAAATCAGTTTAGTCAGAATTTCTGGATGATAGAGCTGTGGGACTATTATTTATTTTAATTAATGATACAAGTATTCCCCTATTATTCACAAAGTTTGCATTCCAATACCCTCCAACGGATGTTTGACAATGTGGAGTACTGAACCATATATATATATATATATATATGTGTGTGTGTGTGTGTGTGTGTGTGTCTATACACACACACACACACATAATGTTTTTTGCAATGTACACATACCCATGATAAAATTGAATCTGTAAATTAGGGACGTAAGATATTAACAACAATAGAAAAATTATAACAATATACTATAATATAACTTTTGTGAGTGTGGTTTGTTCCATCTCAACTAACATAGGGCAGGTAGCATATAGAGAATGAATACACTGAATAAAGGGGTTATTCACTTCTTGGGCAGGATGAAGCAGGATGGGTTGATACCATCATGCTATTCAGAATCAGAACGTCAATTTTAAAACTTTTATAAATTGCTTATTTCTGGAGTTCCTATTAATATTTTCAGACCCCAGTTGACCACTGGTTAACTAAACCTGGGGGAAGCAAAACCTTGGATAAAGGGGATTACCATACTTTTATACACACACTAAGTAGAAAAGAATAGTTCAGTGAATTCAACTATCAGCTCATGGTCAATCTTGTTTTATCTCTACTCCCACCTACTTCTTCATACTGTCAATTCTGGATTATTTTTGAGAAACCCATAATGATGTTTCTTGAGTTTGTTTCATTTGCAGGGGTAATTATCTGTTTGTGTATTTTGCTTTTAAAGCTTTCTGGTGATTCCAATGTGCATTCAGGGTTAAGAACCACTGATTTTTATCATGGTTATGGTCAAATGCTGCAACCCCCCCCCCCCCTTTTTTTTTAGGAAACTGAAAGACCATGTGAAATTTCAGAAATCTATGACAAACCCAAGATATCTGAAGTAAGAACTTTTGATTATAATCTATATATATGATTCATACATTGACCATGTTAAAGGGTTTAAGGCTTTTCATATATAGATGTATGATATGAGTGCATGTGGAAGGAAGGGGACCAGAAAAAGCTCAAGTACAAAGGTGGTTCTCACTGTAATTTTGTTGGCTAGACAAGAGTTCAAGGTTTATTTAATATTAGAAAATCAAGTTAATATTACTTATTTCACAGACAAATTAAAAGGGGAAAACTGTGACTATCTCTAGGGGTGAGGAGAGTTTAAAAAAATCACTTGTAATATGAACTTTTAGCAAACTAGAGTGGGAACTTCTTCACTTGAAAGTTGGCAATCTTTTAAAAACACTACAGCAAATGTCACTCCCAATGATGAAATGTTGAAAGCTTTCTCATTAAGATCAGAAATAAATAAAAGACATTCATCACTTCTATTCAGTATTGTATCTTAGATCCTTGCCAATAGAGTAGGATAGGAAAAAGAAAATGTAAGTCTAAAATAGGAAGAAACACAGTTGTCATTATTTGTAGAAGATATGCTCATCTACATAGAAAAATGAAATATTCTAGATAAGTTATTAGAATTAACAAGGTATTTTAACAAGTTTACTGGATCAAAAAATTAAAATAGAAAAGTAATGTACACTTCTTAACATTAACAAAATCAATTAAAAATTTACAAAATACCATTTAAAAAATTCTTTTATTGGTACATTTTAGGTATACAATACATTTACATTTATCACTGAGTGCTTGTACCTGTACATGTTGTATCTTGGTTCTTATTTTTTTTCCCCATGACCTGTGCACCCTTCACCTCCTCCACCCTTCAAAATACCATTTTGTAGCAGTGATAAAAATATATAGAATACTGAAGAATAAATCTAACAAAAAATGTAATCCTGTCATGGAAATAAAACTTTAATAAGCAACAATAAATGCCTAAAAAACTAGGATGATATATCATGTTCCTAGGCAGGAAGACTTAATGGCATAAAGATATCAAACACTACAAATTGGTGGTTCATTTATTATGTATATAATAAATGTAATTCCAATATAAATCCTATTTTTAAATGAAATTTAGTAAAGTTCTTCTAAAATCTATATGGAATGAGGCAGAGAATGATTTTAGAGAAGATGAACAGACAGAACAAGTAGAAAACAAATGGCAAGATGGTAGTATATTAGTCAGCTTTGCATTGTTATGGCAAAATATTCAAGAATAACAACTTAAAGGAAGAAAGGTTTATTTTGTTTCATGGTTTCAGAGGTTTCAGTTCATGGTAAGCTGGTTTCATTGCTGTGGGCCTAACATAAAGCAAGACATCATAGTGAGAAGGTATGATGTAGCAATGGTTTCACCTTATGGCACCTGGGAAAAAGAGAAGGAGGGAAGAAAATAATCAGAAAGGAAGGGGTTGGGAACAAGATATATCAAAGACACACCTCTAGGGGCCTACTCCCTCTAACTTAGCCCTACCTCCTAAGAGTCCATGCAGCTAATGAACTCATCAATGGATTGATCCACTTGATGAAGTTAGAGCCCTCATGATCCAATCACTTCTCCAAATTCCACCAGATGGTAACCAAGACTTTAATACAATAACCCTTTTGGGGAACACTTTGGATTTCAACCATAACAGTAGACTTAAACTCAACCATATCAGTGATCATATTAAATGTAAATGATCTAAATACCCTCAATTAAAAGGCAGAGATGCTCAGATTGGTTATAAAAGCCAGATCGAAATATATGATGTCTACAAAACTCCACTTTAAAAATAAAGATTCAAGTAGATTAAACATTAAAGAATGGATAAAGAGATACTATGTTAATAAGCAAAAGAGAATTACATGACCTGAAAACATCCCAAAGGCAGTCAGGTCATCAATTGCAAACCTCTCCTCACTTTATTTTCTCTTTTTCAAAGATCACTGTCCTTCCTCATCTGATGTACAGTGTCTTTAAAACTATTGTTTCAATTTTTCCCCTGAATTTTGGTTATTTCAGGTGGGAGGGTAAATATGGTTGTATTACTCCATCTTGGACAGCAGCAGAAGTCTCTGAGAGGTATTTTCAAAAAATCTGTTTCTTTTCCCAAGAATCCTAGGAGGTCACCCACACATATGAAGAATACTACAGGAGCACAAGAAGCCCACATATATGTGAAGACTGTAGCAGGAAGCGAGCAGCCCCTGCCTGACACTTACCATCCTCCTGAAGAAATAGAGAGAAGGAGGGGACTGTGGTGGCTTATACCTAGACTAAGCCTGGAATGATGTAACTTAGTCAAGGAGCAGATCTGGATCCAAACAGGGCCAAAGACATAGGGATTTGTACTTGGAGAGGACAGATGCCAAGCTGCTTCTTAACCAATTCACATTTCATTTGTAGATGTGGAATACTTTTGGGTGGATTTATCTCTTTAGGGGATGGTTCCAGTAAGGTTCATTCTGACTCTCAGATCTATTGTTTAATAAGTAGTGAAACACCATATGTGTTTACTATACATCCAGATGAACTCCTAAGCTTCTGTCTTGACTCCAGTGGGAATTTGCCTTTGTGATTTTGGGAAAAGGGCCTGGTTTCTGAGTGTCTTGCCTTTTCATCTTTTTATTACATCCCTTTTCTCAAAAAAGGTATCAGGCCTGGCTTCTGTAGGAATGTTGGCCAAGGTCAGCCCAGTATAAGTTAGAATATAAATGAAACTTATGTGAAATGCATGAGGGGAAGTCATTTCTTATTTCTTCAGTCTAATACTCTCCCAAATGTGGTATTCAGCTCGCTATTTCTTATTTCTGAATATCTCAGAATAAAAGGCCATATGGAGCCACACATTTCCTGATCATAGGGCAGGATATGGTTTGGTCATGTCACGCAGCAGCCTAAAGAAAATTGGACCTGCCACTGAACAACTGTATGACTTTTGGAGAAGTCAGTTAACTTCTCCAAGCCATAGTCTTTGGTTTTGTCTAAGAGGGGATTTATATTACTTGATTTGTGAGGTCATTAAAAAAATTAAAGAAGAAATAAAGGGAAGTGTTTGCCACTTTAACTATTAAAAATTTTAGTTCTCTTTCCCTACCTACTTTTTCTTACCTCTTCCTATAGTGCTTGTCTGATAAAGTCAAACAGCTGATCACCAGTACTTATTACCTATATTTATAAGGTCACCAAGGAAATATTTATGTCAAACATTTTCCATGGCCTGCAATCCAAATTGTTGAAATCTAAAGTTGATTCTAGATTGATATCTAAAGGTAATTCTAGTAGTGTGTAAAATTTTAAACCTAGATCTAAATGCGACCTTGACCTTACATATGAGCCAGCAAAAGACAGGTTTTTACAAGTTATACATTCCAAGTACAGAAACTTGAGGTATAACATTTACCCTTCAAGATGTTGAAGTTGAGGAGATTCATGTTTTATTTTAAAATGACTTTTTTTTTGGTACTGGGGATCGAACTTGGGACCTTGCACTTGTGAGGCAGGCGGTGGAACCACTGAGCTAAATCTCCAGCCCTTAAAATGACTTTTATTTACAGTGAGACATTGTAAAAGTAAGACAATGTGTGCCTCTTATGACAGTTTCTCAAATCTTTAAACTTTGTGCCTTATGTGTAGTTCCAAGGATATAATTTCTTTTATTTAAACATCATCATCATCATCATCATCATCATCATCATCATCATCATCATCATCAAGAACAAGAACAAGAACAACAAAAGTCTTCAGAGAGAACAAGAATACTTGAGCCCATGAATAGCAATGCCATTTTAGCTTACTGAAGATTCTCTCCAGGGAGGCTTAATGGAAAAGAAGACACCAACTGGAGTGCTGTTGCACTCATCAAGCATAAACTGGTTGTTTGTCCAGCTTTGTGTGAATAACTCCAGAATAGATCATTCTCTGACTTTCTCTTATCTCAGTAACACTCCTTCCCAGTTTTCAAGGCCTCTTTGTCCCCTCCACACTTTGCTTGTTTTATCTTTCTTCTGGCTTCAGTACTAACTTCACTTTTTCTATGACTTTAGGTAAGCTGTTTTCCTAGTATGTCAGATATCTTACCAGTCACTTGGCCTAGTAGACATGTCATTTATCACCTTCACTTGCATCTGTGATTAGAGAATATTTAAGTCAAGCAGTTCTGCAATGGATTTTGTGTGTGCACATGTTTGTGTGTGTGTGGGAGGGGTTTTTATGTGTACAGAGATAAAGAAGGGGGAGGAAAAATGAGTTGCTGTGAGAGATTACTAGCAATAAGTGCATATGCATCCTATGAGAATTGAGAAAAGGCCACGAAGAGAGATCAATAATACCAGAGGGAAGAATTCAAGAAGAAAGCAATAAGTTGGGTAGCTATATGCCTGCCATCTAAGGATAAAAAAGAAAAAAGACAACATTGAGTAGCTTAGGTCAAGCCTTCACCATCACTCCCATGAAGAAGTTTTCAGACAGTCTGTTGCCCTGTTCTTGGCCACTGCCTTTGAGTAGGCCAGGCTGTATGGTGGGAAATCCTGGGTTCCACTCTATGAGCAATGCTGATGTACTAGAAAATATTCCTTTCTCACATAGAGCTCTGATTGCTCAGAAATATACTGACAACAGGTTCTATAAACCTGTCACATGTCAACACCTACTTTTCAAAGCCCTTTGTGAAATTCAGTACTAAGTTTGAAATTGTACTAAGTCCCCTGGATTCAGTCCCTTTGACAAGCAGATTTGGCCATTTTGAAGCAAATGTACACAGGGTTGCTGATGCTTTTACTTCTTACACATTGGGAAGAATCTTGTATGTACTGGGAACTCAGTTGTGGCCTTGACTTTGATACTGATAGACATCAACCCTCATGCAAGTTGTTGATCACCTAGAGCCCCAGGTCTGTACTTATAAAATGGAAACTCTACAAGGTAGCTGTGAATCTGGACTAAAACAGATATCTCGATAAGCCTGTGGCCTATAAGTTATGATTTGTACTTTGGATCATTTATTTGAATTCTGCTTATAATCCATGTTTAGAATATTTCAAATTGTTCCTACTAAACTAGTAAGGTTTAGTATGTCTGTCCTATATTTCTGCTATATGCACAAAAACTTATTTTGGAATAAAATGAAAAATAAAATGAGATGTTATTGTTTATATCTAGATGTCCCCTTAAGGCCTCATGTGATCACAATCAGGGATTTTGGAGGGTAATTGAATTATTTTAACTTGCTGTTAAAGGTGTGACCTGATTGGAAAAGGTGGGTCCTTGGGAGGGGCATGGCCTGGAAGAATTTATCTCCCTCCTCAGCTCTTTCCTTTCACTCTCTGCTTCCTGGACACCATGCCTTGAGCTCTTCTTCTCTACCAGGCTGCCCTGACTTAAAGCCAGCTGACTATGGGTTTAAACCTGTACAAACTATGAGCCCAAATAAACCTCTCTTTCCTTAAGTGGCAGGTGTCAGGCATTTGTCCTGGCAATGAAAGGATTAAGTGAGATAAATTTTGTACTGCAATGCTGCCATGTAGTTCAGAAGACTTTGGAAATGGTTTGTTGAAGGAGTTTGGAAAGGTTTGGCAGTCCCAGCTGGAGAAACAGCTCTGGAATGCTGTAAGCCAAGCTTGATGAGAGATTCTGTTCATAGCTCAGAAAACAAGGATACTGATAGAAATGCAGATGGTAAAGACCAGGCTCAGTAGGTTTCAGTTGGGAAGAAAGAATCCATTGGCAGTTGGACCCCAGATTATGTGTGTTACACTCTGACAGAAAATTTGTCTACATTTTGCTGATGTCCTAAGACTTTGTGGGAAACTGAGATTAAGGGTAATGGACTAATATGATCTGGTGGAGGAAATTTCAAGGCAGCCTAATGTTGAGGCTGTGGCATGGGTACTGTTGTGGGCTTTTTAGCCAGCTCTACACTGAGAATAAAGAGTATGTGGTACAGCTAATGATTTTAAAAGTTTTGAGTTTCACCAGAAAGTGCTGGTAAAGTTGGGGCCTGCCTGTAAAGTTGGAGCAAAAGACAGCTTGGCTGAGCAAGAAGCCTGTGTGAGCCAGAGCAACACCAGAGTATGCAGGTTCCAGCCATGGTCCCACCCAGACCCCAGAAGCTTGGGCCCATAGGTACCAGCCAAAGGGCCACCTGGAAAAGAACTGCACAGGCACACAAGCAGTAGCCAGAGGCCTACCCAGATTCCATCTGTTAAGTGCATGCAGATACCAGCAAGAAGCCAGTGTGGACCACAGCAACACAGGTATGGGCAGGTCTCAGCCAGGGCCCCACCCCAACCCCAGCAGCTTGGGCACACAGGCCCCAGCCAAAGGCCAACGTGAACAAAGAGCTTCACAGGCTGGCAAGCAACAGCCAGAGGCCTGTCCAGATACTATTGGTAAGTGTATGCAGACCCCAGCCAGAAGCCCACTCAGACACCAGTGACTCAGATGCACAGCCCCAGCCAAAGGCCCTCCCAGACAACAGCTATGCAGGAGGGCAGGCACAAGCCAGGGGTAGGCCCCAGCCAGATGCACACCTAGATATCATCCCAAGTGTGCACAGGCCCTAGCCAGAACCCTGCCCGGACAACAGGGCAGTGAGGGGATCCAGAATACCACCATTCTGAACCCAGGAATTGGCACAGTGGTGAGCACCAGAGAAAAGGCCTCTCAGTGAATTGCTGAGAATCAAAGACCACTGGGCAAGCAAAAAGTCACTTCAACAAAGGCACAGCAGGCTGCATCTGTTGAAATGAGAAGACACTTAAACAAGTCTCAAAACCAGGCTTTAGATCATCTAAGGCAACCCCAATGGGCAAGGAGATGGAAGAATCTGATACTCAATCACCTGGACTCCCTGAACTGGCAATGAAAGAGGGTCTGGAAAAAATGAAATTAGAAATAATTTCTCAGATAACAACAGAGATTGTTTACATAGTGCAAGACATGATTAATAACTTTAGAGCAGACCCAGATAAAAAAAAAATAGAGGAGCTAAGAAACATGATGGAATCCAAGCATAGGAAACAAATGGAATCCATAAAGCAGATGTAAATAGATATCCAAGAGATTAAACACTCCATTGAAAGTTTACACAGAAGAATGAACCAATGTGAGGACAGAATATCAGATATAGAAGACAGGATTGCAATTAGTGATCAGGAAAAGAAAAATTTCTAAAAAATAGTAAGGGACCATGAGAAATCAATCCAGTAGCTGCTAGACGATGCAAAGAAGAATAACATAAGACTGATTGGAGTCAATGAAGAAACAACAGAGAGTGCAGATGACAAAAAAACACAAAACCATTCACAGAAGTAATGGCAGAAAACTTCCCAAGCAGGGGAAAAGAACTTGACATATAGATAAATGAGGCATATAGGACTCCAAATAGCCATGATCAAAAAAAAAAACTACACCTAGGCATATAATAGTTAAGATTCCAGAAACCCAACAGAAGAACAAAATTCACAAGCAGTTAGAGAAAAGAAACAAATCACATACAGAGGAAAGCCCATCAGAATCACAGCAGACTTCTCAACACAAACCATCAAGGGAGTAAGAGCCTGGAGTGAAGTATGTCAAGCCCTAAAGGATAACAACCTCGAACACATATTGATGTACCCTGCAAAACTATCTTTCAAAACTGATGGAGAAATAAGATACTTTCATGACAAAGACCACCTTAGGAACTTCATGAATACCAAACCAGCACTCCAAAAAATTTTAAACAATATCCTAGGAAAAAACAATGAGGATCACAACTCCAGGAAGCCCAGCAGAATGAATCCATCAGACATGATAAGAAATTAAATGCAAAGGGGGAGAATCTAACAAAAAGAAAAAGTCATGACATGGATAAGTCAATACATATCAGTTATAACCATCAATGTTAATGATCTCAATTCACCAATCAAAAGAAATAGACTGGCAGAATGGGTCAAGAAGCAAGATCCAACAGTATGCTGCATACAAGAAATACACTTAATTCAAAATGAAACTCATAGACTGAAAGTTAAAGGGTGGAAAACAATACTCCATGCAACAGGAACCCTAAAAAAAAGCAAGAGTAGCTATCTTCTTTGCAGATCAAATGAATTTCAAACCAACACTGATTAAGAGAGACAAAGAAGGACACTACAATCTTTGTAAAGGGAAAAATCTAAGA